GGCAGTTGGCCACAGAAAATGAACAGGGCCTTTCCCCATGCAGCCCTGCACTCTCATTTACATTGAATAAGAAACTTTACAAAGCAAGGACAGGGAACAAGGGGGCTTTATGGAGGAAGTGCTACCATTTCTCCTCCAGGGGGATTGTCTTGTAGTATCTTGGTAGAAACACTCATGCTCTTTCTAATCTGTCCGTGGATCACAAGCAACCTCCAAAAGACAGCAATCAGAAAAAGTTCATATGTATTCCTTGTCAAACAGTCAAATGACTCTATCAGCTGCAGCTTCCATTCAGTAGACAAAGCATAGAAATACTGATTTTACTCTTCTGGTAAATTTGTTGCATTCTGCCTGTTCTTTCCAGTAGTGTTCAGACTGATATGAACTTTCCTTTCAAATATATGATTTGTGTCTTCTTGGAAAAAGACCTGCACGTTTATTTATTAAATAAGATCAATTAGAATGAGAAAGCAGCACTTTGTAAATTGGGATATATTTGTATTGCTTGTATTCACTGCTTTGATGATATATTTTGCTCATAATTAGTGTTGACAAAAGCAGTTTTGAAATTTTTAGATCAACTCAAAAACAAAATGGAAAACCAATGCAGATTTTGTCCTTAATAGTAGCAAAAATTTTGAAGATGAAATAGCATAATGTTTAGGGTCATTATAATAGCAAATGTAGTAATTTGGAGACAATTATGGAAGGGAAGAAATTCTTTACAGAAAGTAACTTAGGTTGCTAAATCCATTTTATTATATGGAAATTATCTTCCTAATACTAAAGTCTTGTGTTTTGTAACAACAACAACAAAAAAATTACAGTGTCTTTATTGTTTTGTTGAGTTACTTAAAACATATGTTTTAGTATAGAGGCAATTTTATATTACTTGATGCTATTTTTTTACTATATGTGACAAAAAATGATTTCAGTACTTGATTAAGATCAGTCATGTGATAATGATGTCAGAACTTAATAGCTAAATTAACATGGAGTGCTCTCCATAGGTTGAATGTTATGCTGATCATATGGTGTGATTTATATCACTTAACCTTCAAGCTATTTCTATGAAGGTTCCTTCATTATAGATAAGGAAACTGAGGGTTAGAGATCTTAGATGACACAAATTCATCCTGTAAGTAGATGGCAGGGTTTGGATTCACTCTCAGGTCAGGCTTCCAAACCCACTCTGACTCACAAGTCCTGACATGATGCTACCTGTTTCTAATCATTCCAAAAGATAATTCAAAAGGCATGGTTACATTATATAATGTAATAGTGCTGTTGATGCACTTGCACCAATTGCCTCTAAATCTGCTGGCTGAAATTGCATATTGAAATGTGTTCTAAAATAATTGCATGCAGAGAATGTGAAATGGAAATAATCCAGACCATGAACCATATTTTCTATTTTGCGGTTATGCTAGAATAGAAAAGAGTATTGTAAAAATTGAAGAAAGCAGAAAGAGTTTTGTAAAACAGTCTCTTAGTGTATACATAATTGCCTTAAATATTTTGTGTAAAAATAAGGACATATAAATTTTAAAATAGGTAAAACTTGTTACAAGATAACACTGAAAAATACCCCTGGATTTCAGAGTCTCATTTAAACATATCATGTGTTTACCAATATATATTTTTGCTTTTCATTTATAAGTTGATTTTTTATACCAACTCACTTACATACACTAATGAATATGTTTGTAGGGAAATGATATGTATCCCTAGAAAAATCTAAGCCATTTTACAACTGTACACTGATGGAAACCATATGTTAGATAGCATCTGTTTATATTTGTTGAAGTTTTACCACGCCTAGAGGCAGAAATGAGAGAAGCTAAAGCAATAGGTTAATGTTTTGGATAGTAAGCTATATTTTCACAACATGACCTGACAATGATTTGGCAATGATCCAGTTTATCTCAGAAATCTGGAAAACTACATTCAATGTCAAGGTCTCCAAAGCAGATGTCTGATTTGGGTTGTATAGAGTGGATTTTCTAGGATGATCATAGTGTTTGGATGATTTCATAAAATATTTAAATACATTTTCAATTTCTATAATGAAATGGTTTCCAGAATCCTGTCTTAAATATTTGCTTAGTTTTGATATTAAGTTTTAAAACAATTCTAAGTGTTTTAATATTTGCCCATAATTACATTGTTTAAGTCTACAAAACAGAAACACACCAGGAACCTTTTCCTACATATTAAAAAAAAAAAAAAGACGTCATTTTTGTTTGTTTCTATAATTACAATAATCATGTCTTTAGAAGAGAACATATACCAACAGCTCATTTTTAAGTCCTTACCTTTTGAGATAGATTGAAGTAGGAATAGGATCATGAGAAAGTGAGAATTCAGAGAGGAATAGAAACACTAAGTATATAGAGAAGGGCAGGACATTTAAGTGTACACAAAGCAAATTAAATTATTTTTAGGAACTGGGGTTGTAGCTCAGAGTAGAGCACTTAGCAAGCATGAGACCCTGGGTTTGACCCCCAGTACCACAAAAATAAACAAACAAACAAATAAATAAATAAAATTATATTTGACTAACTATAGGTAGCATTTTATTTTAATTTCTTCCAATCTTCTCACACGTGGATAATAATAATATTAATTGTCACAATTAAAATATAAATTTTGCTTGTATTATAGTTCTCAGCCTGTGTCTTTCAGCTCTTGGTTTTGCCTTCATGTATTGCTACTTTTATGTTTGTTTTCCTCTACTTTGATATTTATTTTTCTTCATTCCAATGTATTCCTTAAAAATATTTCACATCTGCTGTCTAAGTAAAGTTTTACAATATTCCAGTCATAAATGGAAAATTATGAAATTTTTGTTTGCATGCACACTTGTGTGTGTACACACACACACACACACACACACATCTTAACCAATGAACCTAGATATAACGGTGTTGAGGAGAAAAGGGCAAAATAGCCCAGTTAAAGAAAATGTTTTTCCCTGTGATGGTAGTTGAGCTGCTTAAATTCTATTACAAAAAAAAAAAAGTGCATATTTGAATGGGCAAGCCATTCGCCCCTAAATAATACTTGGCATTCTGTAGACATAGAGTAAGCTCAAAGCAGGCATTTAAAAATAAGAGCATATGATCAAATTTTATGTTCACAATGTCAATCATAGAAGATGGTAAACCACACATAACATAAATGATTTGTAAAGTGTGTATATATATATATATATATATATATATATATATATATATA